TGCGGAGGACGCGGGCGCCCTCTACCGGCAGGCCCAGCCCGCCCGGGGAGAGGCGGAAATGTCAGTCATGGTCGGATTTGTAAGGCTGGCGCTTGGGACCCTGCCCTAGGCCTAAAGCCACCTGGAGGACAGCGGTGTTTGGTTTTGGTTCAAACAGACAGGCCCTGGGCAGTTGCAGGGATGGCAGCTTTCAAACTCAAACCCCAGAAGTGATCATGCAGACTCTGCCTAAAGTGGCATCACTTCTTAACTGAAAATAAGGCCGAGGCGGGAATGAAGGCCAGGCTGAAGCCCTGCAGACGAGTGTGTGTGTGTGTGTGTGTGTGTGTGTGTGTGCGCGCGCGCGCATATGTGTAAGCACCGTGTGTGTGTGTGCGCGCGCGCATGTGTAAGCACCGTGTGTGTGTGTGTGTGCGCGCGCGCATATGTGTAAGCACCGTGTGTGTGTGTGTGTGTGCACGCCCGCGCATATGTGTAAGCACCGTGTGTGTGTGTGTGCACGCGCGCATATGTGTAAGCACCGTGTGTGTGTGTGCACGCGCGCATATGTGTAAGCACCATGTGAGGCAAGCAGGGACCCCAAATCCACTGCTAGGGGAGAAGATGCCACAGTGCCCCGCCATGGCACCACTGCTCCTGCCAAGCCTGCCCCATTGACACTGGCCCCAGCCAAGGCAAAACCAAGCAGACCCAAACCAGTAACAACCTATCCTGTCAGCCAGAGAGCACCTCCACACAAGTCTATCCTGTCAGCCAGAGAGCACCTCCACACAAGTCTATCCTGAGTCCTAAAAGAGGATGTTAAAATCTCAAGTAAAAATCTCCAGGGCCAGAAGTGGTGGCTCACACCTGTAATCCCAGCACTTTGGGAGGCCAAGGCAGGCGGATCACTTGAAGTCAGGAGTTCGACACCAGCCTACCCAACATGGTGAAACCCCGTTTCTACTAAAAATATAAAAATTAGCCAGGTGTGGTGGTGGGTGCCCATAACCACAGCTACTCGGGAGGCTGAGGCAGGAGAATGGCGTGAACTAGGGAGGCGGAGGCTGCAGTGAGCCGAGATGGTGCCATTGCACTCCAGCCTGGGAGACTAAGCAAGAGTCTTGAAAAAATAATAATAATAATAATAAACAAATAAAAAATCTTCATAAACATTCCCACCCCCTCCATACAGCCAGCTCTGAGTCACTGGCTGCTGGCTGGCCAGTCACACAGCACCATGGACATGCAGAGGTACCAGTGGGCACTTGGTATGTGTGGCTCAGATGAGGACACAGAGTTAGTCAGAAGATTCTTGGGCAAATGTATCCAAAACAGTCCTGGAATGCAAAATGTGAAGTGTTTCCACAGCAGTGGCAGGAACACATGACTGGCACTATTTATAAGCGATAAAAGGGTTATTTCATGCATCCTCTTTAAGCTGCAAATGCTTCATGTACAAAAGAAAAAAATCTGTCCTTTTTATTCATGAGACTGGCTTAAGGATCAAGTGAGATAGTTTTTTAAAGTGATAATTTGGCTTGAAGATATAAAGGAGTTTTGATTCCATTCTATAATAAATCTGTTTTTAATATAAAGATCTTTTCTCAAAATCGCTGTATGAAATGATCTCCAGAGAGACAGATTCACCGTGTTTGCCCTGAGATTGAGAGGCCCCTGCCTGCCACTCCACACCCTGCTTGTGAAGGCCCAAGTCACTCACTATGCAAACAAGTCAGGTTGGGTTATTCCCTTTGGTTAATGTTAAAACCAGTCATGGGTCTTCCTGGAATGGTGGATAATCCACACGTGGATAATCAAGAGTTGACTATATGGGTTCCTCCCTCCCCTCCCCTTCCACCAGGGATCCCCGACAGAGGCCACAGAGAGACCCTTCAGCGGATGTAGATCATGTCGGAGATGGCTCCAGGCAAGTGGGTAATGATCTGCATTCGCAGCCACCAGTAGTAGTCCATGGGGTGGTAGTGGGTGTAGGGGGTGGTGGCGGTCAGGGCGTGTGTGACAGCATCGATGACAGGGGACGTGTCTGTGGAGCCACTGCTGCAGTAGGTCTCCATCTTGGCGATCTTTTCATCAAAGTACTTCTTGCCGTAGTCCTTGCGCACAACCTCAGGCAGCTCGTCCCACATCTTCTTGGCGATGGCCTGAATGCTCTCGGGGCTGTAGAGGCTGGTGGCAGCGATGAAGTTGCCGGGCTCCACCACACTGACCTTCACGCCCAGGGAGTGCATCTCATAGCGCAGGCAGTCCGAGAAAGCCTCCACCCCGAACTTGGTGATGCAGTAGGGCGAGCGGGCCGGGTTGGCCATGCGGCCCAGCATGCTGCTCATATTGACCACGCGGCCTATAGAGGGAGACAGAGATACCTGCTAAGGCGGCACTGCCCCATGACATGGAGGGCAGGAGTCAGGCGTGTCTCCAGAGGCTTGGCTGGAACCACTTCTGACCCACCCAGGAGCCTTCTCATTCAGGAGGCAAGGCCAGCTCAGACCCACGCATCAGCATCGGCACCTCTGATCTTCCCTGGGAACCTGGCTGTGCCAGGCCGGACAGGGGAGGACAAGTGAGTGAGAAGCAGGAGGGCACAGTGTGATGGGCAACACATAACTGTGTACCAGGAGGGCACAGTGTGATGGGCAACACACAACTGACTCAAAAACCAGATCAAGCCCAATGCGGTGATAATTTGGGTTGAAAACACAAGGGGAGAAGTGGGAAGCGAGACAGCTGTCTGTGTGGATCTGAGCTTTCACTATAGGCAAGGTCTGGTGCTGGTTAGGGAGAAATACAGCCTAAAAGCTTCCCCTTCCCCTTATGGAGCTTAAAATCCAGCTCCAGTAGTATGATGTGCCAAGTGTCTATCCACTGATCGCAACACTGGCGACAGGGGTTGGAGCGCAGAGGAGGAAGTACCTGGGGCTGCAGCTGGGAGGGAGCCCTCAGATGGCCCTGAAAGAGGACAGGGCCTGTGCTGTTACAATCAACTCCCAACTCCATTCCACCCAGGTAGGGCGGAGCCTGGGTGGAGCCCAGGACAGCCTGGAAAACAGAGCAGCAGGCAGGGGCAGGGGCAGGGGCAGGGTTTCTGAACCTGACTTCAGGGCTAGGGCATGAGGAGACAGTCCTGAGCATTGGGAGAGTGTGGCGACCCCCCTACTCCTCTTCCTCCAAAGACCCTCAGCCACAGGCCCAACCTGGGGACATCAGGGGCCTCCTGCAGCTCCTCCTGGCCCTGGGAACAGAGGGGTTGGAAGTGGATAGCATTTGGCCCAGCTGGGGAAGCCCAGGCAGATCTGGGACCAGTTTTCCCTATAGGTGTGTACCCGGGAAGGAACTCGGCCCATCCAGGTGTGTACCCGGGAAGGAACTCGGCCCATCCAGGTGTGTACCCGGGAAGGAACTCAGCCCATCCAGGTGTGTACCCGGGAAGGAACTCAGCCCATCCAGGTGTGTACCCAGGAAGGAACTCAGCCCATCCAGGTGTGTACCCGGGAAGGAACTCGGCCCATCCAGGTGTATACCCGGGAAGGAACTCACCCCATCCAGGTGTGTACCCGGGAAGGAACTCGGCCCATCCAGGTGTGTACCCGGGAAGGAACTCGGCCCATCCAGGTGTGTACCCGGGAAGGAACTCAGCCCATCCAGGTGTGTACCCGGGAAGGAACTCGGCCCATCTAGGTGTGTACCCGGGAAGGAACGCAGCCCATCCAGGTGTGTACCCGGGAAGGAACGCAGCCCATCCAGGTGTGTACCGGGAAGGAACTCACCCCATCCAGGTGTGTACCCGGGAAGGAACTCACCCCATCCAGGTGTGTACCCGGGAAGGAACTCGGCCCATCCAGGTGTGTACCCGGGAAGGAACTCACCCCATCCAGGTGTGTACCCGGGAAGGAACTCGGCCCACCCAGGTGTGTACCGGGAAGGAACTCACCCCATCCAGGTGTGTACCCGGGAAGGAACTCGGCCCATCTAGGTGTGTACCTGGGAAGGAACTTGGCCCATCCAGGTGTGTACCCGGGAAGGAACTCAGCCCATCCTGGGTGGAGGCACATTTCAGAAAACTCTTTGAAGTCACTGAAGGGTTGGGGTTTTCATCTAAAATCCTATAGCTGCCCTCCATGTTCATGCCGGCTGTTGCTAGGACTTCACCATAGATATATGGATCTTACCCTTTTTGCCACAGTTGTTTGCCATGTCAGGGAAAAAATCCAAGTCAATGACTTCTGAAGAGGTTTGCTCACATTTGGCCACCCACATGGTTTGGGTGTTTTCTTGGTTTTCCAAATTTCTAATCTTGATTATTACTATTGTTTCCTAATAGCACAATGATCTCATTTTTTAAACTACAGTATAAATAACCATAGAATGAATATGCCAAATTTTACTTAACCACACCCGATTGATACAAAGATGTATACACACAGCTTTGTGCAAAGGGTGATTCTCTCTATAGATTAGGTTCCCAGAGTGGGTGGCTGCTAAAATCTTGAAGCTTTTGCTGCATAGACCACTGACCTCTTACCTGCTCTACTTCCTGAAAGCCACACACCTCTCTCCCGCTACCTGGCCACAGCCCCTCTGCCCACCACCACCCCAGGCCCAGCACAGCCCCTGGGGCCACCCTTGCTGTGTTGTGGACGTTGGAGCTGCTGGGACAGGTATGTCCATTCTGAGCAAAGATGAACATGTGGGGCCGATTCAGGGGCAGGAGGGAGCTCCCTTTCCCACTCACCTTTGGCCCTTCGGATGAGGGGGAGAAAGGATTTCGTCATCCGCACTGTGCCCCAAAGGTTCACTTCTGCCACCTCCTTGTAGGTCTCCATGCTGGTGAACTCCACCTCCCCGAACGTGGAGATGCCGGCGTTGTTAACGAGGCCCCACATCCCTGGACAGGGGAGGGATAGGTGTGCGGTGACCACGGGGCTTGGCCCCAGGCATTGCCCATCAGCCTGCAGGCCAGCCTCCTTTCCACTTCTTTCCTGTGACTTCCCAGCCTCTTGCTCAGTGCTCTCAAGAAACTTTCTAGAGTCACTCAGGAGTGACAGGAGGTAAAGAGGCCTAACGTGCTAACTGCCACCCTCCCTTACGTCTAGAATGTCCAGTGCTCATGTCACATCTGCCTGGCTCGATTCTCTGGGCCCACCATGACCCAGCCTGCCGTGTACCCCAGCCTTGAATCTCACCTCACCTCAAATTCCCACTGCCACTCCACTCCACCGCATCCTATCCCCACAGCCTGAGTGTCACACCCCGTTCCTGTTTACTCATCTCTGCCTCTGAGCTTTCGCTCACATCTTCTCTTCTCTTGCCAGAAGCCAGGGAAATCACCGGGGAGGCAGCTGTGTTTTGCAGGGACCTCTCTGAGTTCAGTTTTTTGGGGGGCAAAGGCTGGATGGGTCAGAGCCTCAGGACAGAGCTGGGCCCTGCCTCTTTGTTGTGGAAACCCTCAGGGTTCAGTCTCCCGTGGCCAAAGCCTCGTGCTCCTTCCCAAGGCGCAGCCTCAGAGCAGAGCTCCTGTCCTGGGACCATCCCTGCTTGTGGGAACTCGGTGCTGCTTCATTTTCCAAGTTAATCATGGAAATGAGTTTGTGTAAATGACAGAGTAATTGGTCTCTAGCTGCTTTCCTTCCGTGTTACCCAAATTAAAGCTTCATTCACTGCCCTCTGGTGCCTTCTCCTTCAATTACGGAGAGTTAAGGGCATTTATTAGAGAAAGGAAATTGCTGGTTAACACAGTGTCCATGAAGAGCTCACACTCCCACTCTCCACCAAACCCTGTGGGTGTCTCCCTGCTCTAGGTCTCACCTGTGACCTCACTCAGGTGCTAATGACAGGATCAGCGTCACCCACAACGACCCCAGAGCTCCCACTGTCTCCCTGCAGACGTGCCCTGAGTCTTCACCCTCTTCTCTTCCCAGGAGGAGCAGCTGGCCGCTCCCCACCTCTCATGGCTGACACCTCCACATCGTCTTCGAGACCACAGACACCGATCCTTCCCTCTCTTTTACGCAGCTTCAGCTTTTCCACTGCCCATGACTCCAGCCCTTCAGTTCGATACACACAAATGTGTGTTAGATTAGTGTCTACAAATGCCACATTTCCATATCCCGGAGATCCTTCTGTCACTGTGCCACCCGCTCTCCCTCCCTCCACGCCAGGCTTCCAAGAACACACTCTATCCTGTAATACAAAGATTAGCCGGGCGAGGTGGCGGCGCCTGTAATCCCAGCTACTCGGGAGGCTGAGGCAGGAGAATCGCTTGAACCAGGGAGACAGAGGTTGCAATGAGCCGGGATCATGCCACGGCACTCCAGCCTGGGTGACAGAGCAAGACTCCATCACACACACACACACACACACACACACACACACACACACACACACACTATCCTCTCCATCTCCCTTCCATACTACACTGGGTCCCAGCCCTCAGCTGTCCTCACTCTGCACTCTCCACAGTCTCCAGGGTGGTACACCAAGACCTCACCCCCAGTCCTCACTCTCCTCAGGCTCGCTACAATATCAGTACTGCCAGGACTCCTCGAGGCTCACTTCCCCCTCGGCATTAGTGATCCCCAGGCATCTCCTGCATCTGCCCTGACACCTTTCTTTCACCTGCCCCCACATACAAGTGGCTCCCAATGTCCTGGCCTAATCCTGTTCCTCTCAAAGTTGACTGAACTCTTAGGTGTCCTCATCTTCTTCATGTTTGTGAATTTTCCAGCTGTTTCATGTTTGATTCATAAGGGACAATATCCCATGACTTAAAATGCAGACAGCCCTTTTTCTACCTAAAAATAAAACAATGCCATTTGACACTACTACCCAAAAAAGTTTAATGAAACATGACCCGTGAAGGCACACAGTCCCTGAATTACAGCTTTGATGAGTGTTGAGAGGTGGTGGACCTAGGTGCCACCTGGAGTCCTCAGCCAGTGTTCTGAATAAACTCACGGAGGCATTCCCGCTGGTTGGGCAACAGCAATTTTCCTGCAACAACCCCAAGATGGCCTCCACACCAGTGGCCTCCCAGTTCTCCTCGGGAGTCACAGCTCTCTCCTCGTCCCATCTCCTGTCTCACTTCCACCTGAATGTCCCACAGGTCCCTGACTCACCCTAACCACCACCCTCACATCAAGTTTCCAAGCTGCCCAAGCCTGCTCCTCCTCTTCGTTAATGATTTTACTTTCGTCTGAGTCCTCCAGCTCCTCCACCCCTCCCCCATCGAATGAGTCATCAGGTACTGCTAATATTACAGATCAAAATCAACATGACAGCTGGCAGGCCCCTAATTAAGCCCTTTACATTCATTAACTTCCCTGATCCTCACCACCAGCCTGTAAAATAGATCCTAAATTGTCTCATATCCAGTCGAGGCAAGTGAAGCTCAGAGCGGTTAAGCACTTTGGTCAGTGTCACCCAGCTAACAGGGGGGGAGGGTGGGATTTGGACCCAGATCTGTCTGAGGACAAAGCCCCCACGCCCCAGGCTGTTGCTGGTTTCCTCTGCTGGGTCGGTTATTCCTTCCTGTTTCCACTGGCATTCGCTTGGGTCCTCTCTCCTGCGCTGCTTGAGAAGCCTCCTCCTGGGTCTCCTTGTCTCACTCACTCCTCCACCTCCATCTTCACCCCACCCCTCAGGCCGACCCCACCATCAGTCACTTTCTGCTCTATGGTCTCTAACCCCCCTCAGGCCGACCCCCTCATCAGTCACTTCCTGCTCTATGGTCTCCATCCCCTCTCAGGCCGACCTCCCCCATCAGTCACTTCCTGCTCTAAGGTCTCCATCCCCTCTCAGGCCGACCCCCTCATCAGTCACTTCCTGCTCTATGGTGTCCATCCCCTCTCAGGCCGACCCCCTCATCAGTCACTTCCTGCTCTATGATCTC